GACCGCTGCCCAGTATTGAATTATGGTTATGTCTCTAACTAAAGCCCAGTATTATTCTATTTCTCATCTTTTGCAAAGAGGAAGACCAGAGTTATCCTTCTGAACACACACCAAACCACAGGAGCCTGGATGAGGTACTTTAATGACAGGTCTTCCTACACAGCACATTTATAGTCTTTCTGCAAATTAGTTTGATTTCCTTTGTCTAGACTAACCTAAAGCAAAAATTTCATTTCATTTAAAAGGAACATTGTTTGGAAGGAACAGGAAGCCTAACAAGGAGGAAAGGAAAAAGGCACTAGCCTGGAATCTGGGGGAAGATTCAGCTGAAGGGTTTGTCCTTGAATAAACCACTTGATTAAGACTTCTCTGCTCTAGCAGGACCAGTGCCAGATGTACAGTCAGAGGAAAATATACATCAAGTCAGCACTAGTATTTGCACTGGTATTTACAAGGTAGTTCTGGGAAAGTTATGGAGCTACCATCAATTCTACCGGCAGAGTTCTTTGCAGTAAATCACTTGCCATCTTCAGAATGCTGCACGAGTATTCATTAAGGCTTTTAACAATGTCAAGTTCATTTTATCAGCCTCATTTTACAGAATATGTGATGTGTCTTCAGGCCAATACATCCTGTGCTATAGTCAGGGCTAAAAGTCAAGCAACCCTTCATCCTAGTTCCATGCAACATACTGCTTGGAAGGAGACCCCTTTCCTGTCGTTAGTTCCCTTATTTCAAGAATCTCTATGTTACATCTCAACCCTCACCCAGAAGAGTTTGGAAATTGAGCTGCAAGTCAGGGACAGTGCTTTGGAACTCTCTCTTGGCTAGCTGACAGACAACTGGGCAAAGAATCCACCAACATATTCAAAGGTCTGTTTCCTGGGCTCAATGCCATATGGCAAATGGACAGAGGCAGACTTAACTTGTAGGAGAAAAGTGTATTTTCTGCAGATGGCAGAACTTAGCCCGTATTCACTTATAACATCATTTTGAGGGAGTAAACTCTGCGCCTCCTTCATGACATCAGGGTGGGGAGGTGGGGTATAGCAACACTCCAGAGTGCATGCATTGGGGGATATGTCTACACTATGGAGTTTTTTGGGGAAAATAGCCATTTTTCCAAGAAAACCTTCATTCATGTCCACATTGCAATCACATTTTTTCTAAAGAAAAAAAAAAATCACAAGAACAGAGTGGTTTTTCCAGCATCGGTAATCCTCTTTCTACAAGGAAGAAGCCTTTTTCCAAAAGAACTCTTTTGGAAAAAAGGAGTGTGTGGATGGGGAAGAGGGAGTTCTTTCAGAAGAAGAAGAGGAAAGAGGAAAAGACACAGGTGCCCCGGTGGCTACTCTGTCCATAGTAATCACAGTTTAAATGAGAGATAGTGTCCACATAGAATAGATGCTATCTTTCGAAAAAGTGGATTGCTTTTTCAATGCACTATGGCAGTGTGGACGTGGTCTTTTGGAATAAGTTTTTTCGGAAGATCTCTTCCGAAAAAGTTTCTTCTCAAAGAAGCTGGCAGTCTAGACATAGCCCTGCTGTCAGGGTGTGTCTAGACTACATGCCTCCTTCGACGGAGGCATGTAGATTAGCAATAGATGCTATCTTTCGAAAAAGTGGATTGCTTTTTCAATGCACTATGGCAGTGTGGACGTGGTCTTTTGGAATAAGTTTTTTCGGAAGATCTCTTCCGAAAAAGTTTCTTCTCAAAGAAGCTGGCAGTCTAGACATAGCCCTGCTGTCAGGGTGTGTCTAGACTACATGCCTCCTTCGACGGAGGCATGTAGATTAGCCA